GTTCTACTCCGTTGTCAACCCCGTATTAGGGAGCCTTCAGGAGGACCACTCCTTAAAACTGGCCATGTCGCGTCGAACCCATGCTGGATGTCTGGTTGATCAAAAATCTTTAAAGTACTGGTCGTACTGGCGCGCCATTTCGTCCGTATACGGCTCGCGCTTGCCATCCTCCTCCGGGTACTGATCGAAGCACTGCGAGTCGCTCGAGGATCGCACGGGCGGCACAATGGGTCCGCGCACACGCTGTCCCAGTAGCTCATCCCACCGGATGCCCTTGAAGAAGGGGTGGTCTTTGACGCGCTGCGCGCCGCCGCTAATGTTGCCGAGGCGTTTAGAGCGGTCGACGGTGCAGAACGATTTGATGAGATCCTTGGCATTGTCCGAAATGTGCGGTTCCGCCGGGAACGTGACGGGCTTCTCGACGATCCTGCGGCAAGAGTTAGTCGGTCATTCGTTTTCAATCCACCACTAGCCAACCTAGAGCTAGACGTCATGGAGATGGGGGACGTACTGCTTGTAAATCTCGATGGGGTTCTGGTGCCAAAACGGCGGGTAGCCCGTGAGGAACTCGTACAGCAGGATGCCCAGCGCCCACCAGTCGACGGCGGTCGTGTGGCCCTTGTTATGAATCACCTCGGGCGCCAGGTACTCGGGGGTGCCGCAGAGGGTGTACGTCTCGGTTGGCTGGCCGTCTTCGCTGCTGAGGCGCTTGGCGAAGCCAAAGTCGACGAGCTTGATGTGGCCGTTCTTGTCGAGCAGCAGATTCTCGGGCTTGAGATCGCGATAGGCGACGCGGCCCTGCTGCTCGTGCAGAAACTCGAGGACGAGGACAATCTCGGCTGTGTAGAACTTGGCGGTGCTCTCGTCGAAGCGGCGCATCTTGCGCAGGTAGCTGAAGAGCTCGCCGCCGGGGACGTAGTCGAGCAGCATGTACAGCGTGTCGGCGTCGGAGAAGGCGGCAATCATGTTGGTAATAAAGGGGTGACCAGAGACGTCGCCGAGAATGCGACGCTCGTGGCGCACGTGGTCCACCTGCTTGAGCTTGATGACCTCGGTCTTGCGGAGGATTTTGAGGGCGAAGACCTCCTTCTTCTCCTCCTCGGACGGATTGACGGGTCTGACGAGGCAGACACGAGCAAAAGTGCCGGTGCCGAGGGTGCGGATGATGCGGAAGTCGTGGGAGCTCAACGAGGCGCGGCTGGCAATGGGCCCGTGGCCGGCATTGTGGTGGCCCTTGCCGTTGGCCATGCGACTCTTCATGCGCGAGAGAAAGCCCGGCTCGCGGTGGGTAGATGACGAAGTGGAAGCGCGCGGACGCGTCGGCTTCTCATGAGGCGTGACGGGCTCCGTCTTGGATTGTGACACGACGGCGGCCATGGTGGGCAGCTCCCGCCGTCACGGCGTGGTTGACTTTGTGTTGTGGCCTGAGAAAGTACGGCGACTGCCAGGGACCCTCGTGCGCGCGCTTGTATGCGGGTTTGCAGGTGGTCGCGCGCAGTGGCAGATGGAGGGATGCAAGTGGCTGACTGGTGGGCTCGCAGACTGGCGGACTCGCAGACTGGCGGACTCGCAGACTGGCGGACTCGCAGACTGGCGGACTCGCAGACTGGCGGACTGTCGGGTGATG